TATATTTTTTTTTTTTTTTTTTTTTTTCAGCTGCAACCCATTAGTAGGAACACTACTCTTTATCGCCCGCGCTCAAGAGAGAATTATACTTAAAAATCGATAAATGGGTTATTTGTCGCCAGAAAATATTCTCTGCAGTTACGAGTTTACGAATATGTATATTTTGATTTATTAAAAAATCAAAATATATATATTTTGTGAGCTTATAAATGCAGAGAATGTTTTCTGGAGAGAAGTAATCTATTTTTTGGTTTTTTTGAGTATAACTCTCTCTTGGACTCGGACTGTGAAGGGCGGTTTTCCTGCCAAGAGGTTAAAAAATCATAGATTCAATATTCAAGAATCATAGATTCATGTTCAAGAATCATAGATTATATATTTTGTGAGCATATTAATCCGGTAATAATATTAATGAAAGAAGTAATGAAAGAAGTAATGAGTTTTTTTTATAAGTTATCTTTTGAGCGTAAACTGTTTAAAGGTTGTTTCGAGGGTAAGGAATGGAGCTCAAAAATCAAAACTATGCTAGTTTTGTAACTACAAAAGCTAGTTTTATAACTAGTTTGAGAGCTCTCAATTAGCTTCTAATTCTGCTCTTATCCCGATTCCATTCATGCAATTTTAAGAGTTAAGGGGAGGGCTGAGTGAACGTTTACTCAGTCCCCCCCATCTACAAAAAAAAATTTGTTTTCAGGGAAACGAGCTCAAAATTTTTGATTAACGGGGAATAAAAGTTCATAGATAGCTTCTAATTTTGAGGTATTTATATTTTATTTTTCACGTGGTCAGCTGGTGGCAGAGGAAGAGGGCAGCTGAATGGAGGTTGACAATTCAAAAGTTGAGATGTATGAAACTGAAGTTGCGACTTTTTATGCGTATATAACCTTCCATAAGATTGGCGTGCTATATATTTCTAATTTCTACTTTTAATTTCTTGTAAACTAAAGTTAGCATTTTAATGAACAACTACTATAATATTCAAAATTAATATATCAAAATCAATAAACAGACATTTAAGAATTGTTGACTGTTACCAAGATACATGTACACATATATAAACACTTGTGTAACTGTTTCTATTATCTGTGTGTTCTATTTTATTAACTGCTGCACAAATGAAGCATTAATATAAAAAATTATATTTTTGTATCTGTAACATTGAGTGTATATATATACAGAGTGTATAGAGAGAACTTTCGAAGCTGTCGCGGAGGCATAATGCGGATTGAGATGAACATAAATCTTATACCGTTTTGTAATATTTGCAATAGTTATCGAGATATTAATTAAAGAAGATTGATGAATCGTCGCTCACAATAATATATTAGTCATCTAATTAATAACTAAAAGTAATAACTAAAAATCTATGAAGTTACAAGGAAAAAGATAGAGGATTTTTTTGTTCAGTTTGACCCAATGTACAAGCACACGACGGCAGATGTCGCCACTGCAACTCATTTAGTATATCTCGCGTGACTATTTACAAGTCTTCTTTAACTAATATCTCGATAATTATTGCGCATATCACAGAATGGTATATATACTTTTATGTTCATCTTAATCTATACTATGCCTCCTTGAGAATTTTGAAGATTTCTTGGGACATATATATATATATATATATATATATATATATCTTGTGTATATATATATAATACATATATATATATATATATATATATATATATATATATATATATATA